TGAGGTGCTAAGAATCAAACCCAGTGCATCATACATGCTAGGCAAGTGCTCTACCAATGAGCCACAACCCCAGCTCAAAATACAGATAATTTTAATCCCTAAACCCAAGTCCTTGCTGAACCACTTTGCTGGATGGTTAATAAATGTATAATAATAATTTGTGACTACTGTTGTCTGTATGGTACTGATTAATCTTGGTCTCTTTTATTGAGTAGATAATAGGAGTTAAATAAAGATTAAAAATATGTACTTTATTCCTGGTAATGCTAGCATGGAGAATGGCTTGGACAGGTAATTCAGGTGAGCTTTTTGTTTCTTCTCCGAATTGAATTTATATTCTCACTGAGGAGCCGACAGCTAGCAACTGCTAGCATTCCTTGTTCCCCAGCCACAGAGAGAAGGTGCTCAGCCTGTAGGAGGCAGGCAAACCCTGAGGTGGGGAGTTGAAGAAGCTGAGTCACTTGGGAGCCATGATCATTTCCCTGCTTTGAAGCCAGTTTAGAGAACTGAGTTTAGAGAAGAGTAAACATCTGCGTGGTACTTCTGAGAGGAAGAAGTTATTATCATATGGGTTAGTAGAAGCAAGGGGAGGAGAAGAGAAAGTCCCCCATCCTTTCTGTTGGATAAGGATGAAGTCAGTGAAGCTGTTGAGGCAGACAGTAACTGGCTAGGTCCTCACAGATACATCTCTTGGGGGTGACTAAGGCAATACTTGAAAGATAAGGATGTAGACATGGGGTGGCATGGGGGCAGGGGTGAAGAGAATCTTGGGAACCAGGAACAGCCTGTCTGAATAGTTTCAGGAACTGAAAGGAGCCAGCATGTTCTGAACAGTGGTAGGCCTGGCGAGGGGGTGAAGAAGAAGTAACTCAGAATGATAAGAAATTTGCATTTTATTCTGTATGCCAAGGAAATTCCCTGAGGGGTTTGAAGCAGATGAATGATTTGTATTTTTAAAATATTGTATGGAATGCAGAATATATTAGAAGGGGGCAAAACAGGAAGCAGGGGGTCTACTGTCAGAAGACAGACTAATGAGGATGACATGGCTAACATGATGGTGGCGAAATGAAGAAAAGTTGAATTTGAGATGTATTTTGGAGGGAGATACCCACAAGACTTGCTGATATATTTAGATGGGGCCAGGAGCTGAAGGAAAAGGGAGAAAGCAAGGATAATACTCCAGTTTCTGACCTTAGCAACTGGATGGACAATCCATTTGTTGAGATAACAGGGAAAGGAATAGTTGTGGGTATTTTGAACTTGCTAAGTTTAAGGTGCTTATGTGTCTTTCATAAGAAAATGTATTGCAGACAGTTAATTCTGAGAAGAGATTCCAGTAAGAGATGTAGGTTTGGGAGTTTTTAATACATTAAATGGCATTTAATTTGAATTTATGCGAATAAATGAGATCGTCTAGGAGAATGCGGGAAAGAGAAGGGAAGAGGGTCCCATGCCCAGGCCCTAAAGAACTGCATCCTGTGGATGGAGGTACATACGGTGGATACAAAGAAGGAACTGCCAGGGAAGTCCTTGGACCAGTAGAAATGTTGATATAGAAGGAGAGTGTTTAGTAAAGGGGAAGTGGTAGTCATATTAGTTGCTAACCTGAAAAGTGGTCATTGGACTTGATAACAGAGGTCATTAATGTCCTTGAAAAACAGCAGTTTGGGGGCTGGGGATGTGGCTCAAGTGGTAGCGTGCTCGCCTGGCCTGGGTGCGGCCCAGGTTCGATCCTCAGCACCACATACAAACAAATATGTTGTGTCTGCCGAAAACTAAAATGTAAATAAAATATTTAAAAAAGAAAAACAGCAGTTTGAATGGAATGGATTGAAGGAAGAATGGGAATTGAGGAAATGAGTCAGTCGTGTAGATCTGTGCTTTCCAATACTTTAGGAGCTGTGTAAATCACCTGGAGATCTTGACAAAAATGTAGATTCTCCTTTAGGGTGTGAGGTTCTGCATTTCTGATGTTCTCTCAGATGATGCCAATGCTACTAGTCCATGGAGCACAGATGTATAGCAGATGTATAGTCTAGTGGTTCTTATACTTTAGTGTGTGTTGAAATTAAATAAAGGGGTATTTCTTATAAATTCACAGTGAAACTGATGATATTGGTTCCCATACTTTAGGAGTTTCTGGTATAGGTGACTTTTTTTTTTTTGAGAATATTGAGATGTGTGGCCATCAAGGGAAGTTTTTGTTGAGGATAGAGAATAACTAGAGTATATTTATGCTGGTAAGAATGATACAACCAGACACAGTGGCACATGCCTGTAATCCCAGTGACTCAGGAGGCTAAGGCATGAGGATCCAAAGTTCAAGGCCAACCTCAGTACATTAGTGAGACTTAGCGAGACCCTGTCTCAAAATAAATAAAAAGGGCTGCTAATGTAGCTTAGTGGTAAATTGTCCCTGGATTCAATCTTCAGTACCCCCCAACCCCCCCAGAAAAAGTAATAAAGAAGTGAAGTCCCTTGAAGATAAGGGGGATGGTCCGAAGTATGTATTGGTCTTTGATAAGGAGGGCATGTGTCCTTTGTTCTAGCAAAAGGGCAGATCGAGAGAATTGGTCTAAGTGCTATGTGTTTATAGATTTGGTGATGGACCGATGGAACGCTCCTTTGATGGTTTCTGTTTTCCCATTGAAGGCAAGGGTACCTCTTAAGGGAAGTGGTTGAGTTGGAGGTTTGTGAGAGAAGATGTCAAATGATCAGTCTGAAGTACAAAAATGAACTCACTAGAAAAGAGTGGCACTATTGAGAGCATATTTGAAGTTAAGGTCAGAAGTTTAAAATTCAGCCAATTGTGTGCTGTTTTGTTCCTTTTATCTTCAATCACAGTTAGTTCCTTGGATTTGGACATGGGGAATTAAATGCTTCTAAGATTAGACTTTATCCAGTGAGTATGTGGGGTTGGGGGGAGAGAGGTACAAGTAGCAATTATCATCATTGAGCAAGAAAGGAAATGAGGACAGCAGAGGGCTGAAGGATGGAAACAAGCAATGATGATTAGGTCAACAAATTGCCTAGCCAAGGTACAAGTGAACTAAAGAGAGGAGGATTGTGATGGGAAAAGAGTTTTGTAGGCAGGACACTTTTTGGTGGGGAGGGAGACCTGGGGAGTGACGGTGAAGATGGTTGGATGAGGTGGAGTTTCCTAGAGTGGTCAGGAAACAGGAGGTTGGATACGCCCTCCACCTGGAGGCTGAAGCTGCCAGGAGTAATGACGAAAGTTGGAAGTGGAGAGAGACTTTCAGATGGGAACTCTTTTTGGTGAATGATGGAAAATTCCAGGTCAGTAGATAACAGCAGCGGAGAGAGGTGGTTTATCAGGGTTGTGAGCAGAGGCCTTTAGAAAACAGTTGGAAAGTAGTGGTCTTGAAGTGGTGCTAATTGGCAAGGAAAACACCCAGCCTGCCTACTAGCCCTGAAACAAGCTGGCTGGGTGAGCGCTCCCCCTCTGATGGAGGGCTGTGAAAGAGGAATGTCTGCAAGATGCAGCCTCTCTCACAAGGAGGCAGGAAAGTTCAGAAAAGAGGTTGAAGGTTTACAGGACTGTATCATGAATTGGGAGTTGAAGATTGGAGGGCATAAGCAAGGTCGTAGAGTAAAGGGAGAGGAACAGCTGGAGTACTTACAGAGAGCGGTGAGAGAAAGTTTGGTGTCAATTTGGTGATCATAGATGACCAGAAAGTCTTAGGTGCCCATTAGACTGAGATATGAGGAATGATGGAATTAGCTCAATTTCCAAAAATACTTAAAATACACATCGCATTTCTTGCTGTAGCTGTCCTGCATGGTCCAGCCTCTGCCGGCTTCTGACCTCATTCCCTGTGCTCTCCCCTGGCTCCCTGAGCGCTGCTCACACAGCCTGCCATGCTCTGTCTACCTTTGTTTCTTTTTCCATTTGTTTCTTTGCACTTGCTCTTACAAGACATCTTAGCCAAGTGATTAAAAGCATAGAGCTCCAGATTCAGTCTCTCTGCTTTACCACCCTTTAAAACCTCTTTGTGCTCACTGTCCTTGTTTGTGAGTGAGGGAATGACAATACTTACTTTACAGGGGTGTTGAGGGATTAAAAGAGCTAATTTAAGAAAATAATATAAAGGGCTCAGAATAGTTTCTTTTATGTAGTAAAGATGCAGAATGTTGATTTTTATCATTATTTCTTGTGCTCGAAGCTCATTTTCACACACATGGTTAATGCTGGTTTTAGTTCAGTTCTAAGCGCAAGTGTTCTTCCTCAGACATCCTAGTTAAATTAGTGTAACTGCACTGGCTTCCTGTCATTCTTTCACTCTTTCTCCCATCAACATTTCATTTTGTTGCAACACCCATCACTATCTGAAATTATTTTATTGTTCTCCCGGTCTTCTCTCTCCCCAGAGCAGGGATTTGTTGGTTTGTTTCTTACTGTATCTCACCCTCTAGAAAGTGCCAAGTACTTTGTAAGTGTACAGGAAATATTAGTACCAGCTCATTTTTCTGAAAACAGTATTTTCTAAAGCCTTTACTCTGATCGTCCGCTTATGGTGGCAGATGAAGTGAGGCCCAGGCAGAGGAGACAGAAAAGCCAATACTGTGATTATCAATCTGCTGGCTTATTTGGATCAATTGACTCCCTGTTTTTGTGAAGTTTATTAGAACAGAGCCACACCTGCTTTTTAACTTATTATCTGGCTGTTTTCCAGCTATAAACAACCACACCTGAGCCATGATGACAGGCCTTGGGCTGCACGGTGTCTGGCCCTTTAGTGAAAAAATTTGCCAACCACTGATTTAGATGCATGAAAAAGACTAGAAGGAAACACCAAAAATAATAGAAGCTGTCTTTGGATAGTGAGATTATAGGTATTTTTGTTTTCTCCCCCCTTTTTCTATTTTGTTTAGACCCATTTAATTTGGAAATGAAATAACTTTGTAAATATTCAAAAATGGTATTTAAAGCACTTTTAATGGTGGGACTTTTTTTTCCCCCCTTTTCTCCTCTTTAGTGCTGCTTTTGACACAAAAACTGGGTTACGTGTGGCAGTGAAGAAGCTGTCCAGACCATTTCAGTCCATCATTCATGCCAAAAGGACCTACAGAGAGCTGCGGTTACTTAAACACATGAAACATGAAAATGTAAGTTATTCATTCAACGAAGATATAGTCTGTTCTTGGAGTAGACCGGAAAAATTATGATTTAATTCCTGCCAGTGGAAATACATTGGAGTGCATTGAAGTTTGGTTCCTGCTTCTCGGGGTGCTGTGTGTTAGTGGCCACTGGGTTGTCAAGTCAGAGTCTTGAAATAAAAATGGTGCATCTTCCTGGAGTTCTAGTTTTACCCAAAGATTTTTAGAGGGAAAGCTTTTTTTTTTTTTTTAAGTTGTACATTATAAAGTACAACACAAATTTCTTAGGAATGTTTAAACGATATTAAAAAGGAAATTTTTTTACTCTTTGCCTGGTTTGCTTAAGGCTATGTTATCAATGTGGGGGGTTCATGGCTATTTTCTGTTGACATGGATTATTTTAGTAAAAAAATTTGAGGAACTGCTTTGATTCACTGAAAGTTCTATTAAAGATGGCTATTTTATGTGTGCCCTCAGCTCTGTGTATTCATAGATTAAACCAACCACAAATAGAAAATATTCTGGAGAAAAAAAGATTTGAACTCTAATAAACACATGCAGACTTTTTTGTTATTCCCTAAACAATACAGTAAGGCTGGGGGTATAGCTCAGTTGGTAGAGTGCTTGCCTTGCATGCACAAGGCCTTGGGTTCAATCCCCAGCACCAAACCAAACCAAACAAAAACAAAAAACAGTATAACAACTATATACATAGTATTTACTTTAGGATTATAGGTAATGTAGAGATGATCTTAAAAGTAGATGGGAGGATATGCACAGGTTGCACCATGCCATTTTATAGAAGGAGTGTGGGCATCTGCAGATCTTGGTAACCATGGGAGGACGGTGGTTGTCCTCTACAAGGGATGACTGTACAGTACTTTGATATTATAATTTTTCTTTTTAACCTTCAAGAGACTTTTATTCTAATAAATGTCACATAATTGTTTAAGTTAAATATAACTTTTTCTTTTCTACCAACTCAGTAATTTGAGAACAATGCCCTTTTGCAAAGGAGTGATTATAAGTCCTAATATGGCAAATCAGTAGATGTAATTGAATTATTAACTGAAAGTGAAAAACTGTTGACGAATGTCACTTAATTTTTTGACTTTCAAAATCAAGAAGAATTTCTGTGACTGCTGTATAAAAGGTACTATAAAACTTGTAACATTGTAGAAACAAGGGCCAGAAAGATGTTGAGTCATTGGCCCTATCGGTTGTTACTGCGCACACAAAAAAAAATTCAAAATCTGGGAATTCAGAATCTTTCTTTTTTAATGATTGAACCGTTTTTCTCCACAGTAAGGGGGGAAAAAACAGGTTAGTGGATACTTGATTAGTATACATTTGTCTCATTGATGCAAGTTCTTTCTAAATTGAGAACATGAAGACTTAACATTTGTGATTACATTATGGATGCTTTTTTAAACAGCTGTATCTTTTTGTTCCATGTTTTATTTTGAGTGCATACTATTAAGAAAATCCTTTTTCTACAGGTAACCTCTATTCCTAAGTTTGATTTTTATGAGCAGCTGTTTGCAAATCTGGGTTTTTAAAAAGTTCAGTACAGAAAGCTGGGCACAGTGGTGCACACCTGTGATCCCAGAGACCTGGGAGGCTGAGGCAGGAGTATCCCAAGTCGGAGGCCAACCTGGGCAACTTAACATGACCCTTTCTCAAAATTAAATATAAAAAGAGGACTGCGCATGTGGCTTGGTGACAGAGCTGCCCTGGGTGCAATCCTCAGCACTGCAGGATGGGCCAGTTTAGTGCAGAGCTGCAGCCTTCCTAATCATGACATGTTTACAAGAAGTCGAGATATGTGGAAAAAGCTGGCAGGGGAAAGTTTATTCCCAGGTCTGCATAAAATCAAAGTGGCCTGGCAGCTTAACTGATGTGTTTACATTTGGTTTATAACACATCTGAATGTGTATGCTGTTTTTCATTACACATTAATTAATGTGACAGAGACATTGTTACAGTTTTTTAAGTAAGAAGAATATTTCAAAAATGGAATGCAAGCTGAACATTTATGGAACCCCAAAATAGCTCCAGAGGCTGAAGTATCTCACTGATGCTAATTTAAGAACATCTGGTTTAGGAGATTACCAGTTCATTACTTCATTATCTTGCTTTTTTCATATAAATAGTTTTATCCAGTGTTTAAGACAAAAATTATTTTGGGTTCTCTGAATCTACCCGCTTTGGTTTTTCTAGTAATCATAAAAAATAACCATCTTTAGTTTAGGTTTTTTTTTTTTTTTTTTTTTTTTTTAACTTGTAGATGGACACAATGCCTTTATTTTATTTATTGATTTTTTTATGCGGTGCTGAGGATTGAACCCAGTGCCTTGCCACCCGCTAGACAAGCTACAGCCCCAGCCCCATCTTTAATTTTTAATGTTTAAATTTTCTGTAATGAGATACTTTGATATATTACATGATACTGGGCTAGTTCTATTTGGATTATAATTTGCTTGTAGAGGTATGGGGGGCCACAGAATGATAGGATACAATTATTCTAATTTAAGAAAGACTATAGGACTCTTAAGAGGGTTGTTGGGGCTGGGGTTGTGGCTCAGTGGTAGAGTGTTTGCCTAGCACGTGTGGGGCACTGGGTTTGATTCTCAGCACCACGTATAAGTAAATAAATAAAGGTCAATCAACGACTAAAAAAATTTTTTTAAAAAAGAGGGCTGATGAAAAACAGGATTTTAATTTATATAAATTGTTTTCTAAGCACCTTGCTTATTAGCTATCCATCTTTTTTATATTAAGATGTTTAGGTTCTATCAGTAGAGGGTCATCTAAACTTAGATATTAGTGACTTGTATTTTTGAACAAAAGAAGGCATATAGTTGAATGTCTCATGGTTCTCTATTCTCTTGACACATTTGAAGCGGGGGTGAGAAGAGGCCAGAAGACTTTGACTTCATGAAGAACATTTTCTGCCTTGTAGTCTGTTCTGTCAACATCTGTGAGGTGCTTGCAATGTAAAAGTAGTTTTACACAGTGAAGAACCAAGTCTTCTAGTAGATTTAATTGAGGATTTTTCAAAGGAATCTTCTCCTACATCCTCCTCTTCTTCATTATACTTTTTCTTTTTTTCTTCTTTTTTTTTTAATGACTGCTTTGAGTCGCCATCTGGTTTTTAGCTAGCTGCGCAGCCTCCAAAGGTAGCAGTCCCAACAGCTTAAAACTCTTGAAAACTTTGTTGGTGACAGATTTTTTTAGGGGCCAGATACATATGTAATCTTTTACACAGATATGCCTCTGACCTCAGGGGTAGTTCATCTTGAGTTATTTCTATCAGTGATAACAAATGACAACCACACAGTTATTACATAGGTGACTGGAGTTAGGGGATGACTACTGTGACTGTGATAGTTCCTCTGAACAAAGTCAGCTGGCCCGTTCTTGATTGAACTTTTGACCTTGCCTCATTAACACCTGCTCTAAGGGGTGATTAGAAGTAGATTGCCAGCTGCATCCTTTTGCTGTCTGGGCAGTTACTTAGAAAGATTGCCAACTTATGTGCCTCGAGATCTGTACATCTTAAATTAAAAATAATTATGGGAATTCTTCCAGAAGTTTTATTGGGGAAGCTTAGATTTGACCTTACTGTGATTAACCCTGTGGTTGTTTTGTTGTGGTTATTTTAAAAGATATTAAATATTGCCTTTGTAGAGTTTGTTTATTTTGGGGTGTGTGCCAATTTAATAAAAATGTATTATTTCTATATGCCATCCTTTGGATTATTATAGGATGATCATTAGAAATATTTGTTGCATAAGTATCAAAAATGTACATTCTAAAAATTTTAATCCTAGGTTACTTTTAGGTGACTGAAACCAGATAATGGCAGGATTAAGGGGATAGGCTAAAATATGACTTGAATTGAAAGGGAATTTCCATTTAAGAAGTGAGAAATTAATATATATGGAATATTTCTAAAGTGTTCTCCAGATAAAGCTGAGAAGCCTATGTTTTGCAATATTTTTCTTAGGATTTGTACTTCATAAATACAATTAATGTAAGAAAGGTATTTTGCAAAATCTCACATCCCACCCCCCCGTAATGTCATTGGTAGAGCACTTGCCTATCATGTGCAGGGCCCTGGAAATTTTTAGAATGTACATTTATGATACTTATGCAACAAATATTTCTAATGATCATCCTATAATAATCCAAAGGATGACACATAGAAATAATACATTTTTATTAAATTGGCACACAATCCCCAGCACCACAAAGCAAACAAATAAACAGAAAATACTTTGATGTAACTTGGGTAGTTTCATACTGTTGTTTTGGTGTGCTTGTGTTAAATACATTAAATATTGTAAATATTTTCCTTTTTAGGAAATTAGATTTTGATAGGGTGTTATTTATTAGTCTGCTTTTCTGTATTATTTTTCCAAGGCAGTGTTAGGTGTACGTCTTAAAATTAAATCATATAAATCATACAAAGCTTTTCGCTTTCTTATAGCAAATCATTTGAATAGTTTAGCTTTACATTTCAAATTCTGTTACTGGAAGTAGCTGCTTCAAAAACTTGCTCATGTATGTGTTACACTTTGTAATTTTTAATGAAATTCTATGGGTTATGATCACTGTGTATGTAGGCAATCCTCAGCTGGTTAGTCCCTTGCCCTAGTTGCCTTCAGATACCTTGTCTATTTAATCTTCCCCACAGTACTATGAAAATAAGCAATGAAGCTCCATGCTTTTAATTTGAGGTAAATGGAGCTCAGAAACCAAATTCATTACCAAATATTAATGTTAAAATATGGTATATAGAAATAATAAATACAGCATATACAAATATTATTGAATAATAAGGACATGAAAAATAAGTAGATGTTAAGTAGAAAGGTAGGAAATATAAATTTATGCACAGTATAATCCCAATTTAACTTATGCACATTAGAAGAATCAAAGAAAATATCACAAAGTGTTAAGGGTTGTTATAATGGCTTACCATTATAGGCAGTTTTGGTTTTCTTGCATATAATTGTGTGGTGAAGGGTCTGAAAAGTGACTCTGTGTCTTTCCTTTGGAACAATTTGCATAGACTTAAAAAGTGATCCTTGAATTCCAAGGACCTCCTCACCTCTTCCCCTTCATGTTCAGGTTGTATGATTGAATTTGTTTTTAAAAGTTGATATTTGGGGTTGGGGTTGTGGTTCAGTGGTATAGCACTTACCTAGCACGTGTGAGGTCCTGGGCTCAATCCTCAGCACCACATAAAGGTAAATAAATAAAATAAAAGTTTTTTTTTTTTTTAAGTTGATATTTGGATGAGTGAAGTAGCATCCTACTTAGTATTATTTTTCATGATAGTGTTAAAAATAAAAATTTTATTTTTTTATAACAGTGTTTTGAGTATTTTGTCTTACTTTTGGAGGTATTTGTTTAACTTGATTGTTTAGAGCAACATACAAATGAAGCCACAGTCATGGTTTGGTTTTCATGAGGGTCGTTTAGCTTTTGTTCATTTCATATCTAGACAGCCTTAAAACTGGCTGGGCATATTACAAATAAATTATGGTATTTCTTGTTTTTAGTGTCTAATTTTGTTGAAATGAGCAGTCTGGGTTTTCAGTGGAACTGGTGAAACGGGGGGTACTGTATGTGATTAAATCAGTATTATAAATCTATGACCAGAAAAATCTGCTCAAAGACATGTGTTACTGAGTTTTGCATAGCTCCTTGCTTTATCCTTGTATAAAGATAGTCTTTTCCTTTTTCATTTTAAAATTATTTGATCTCAATATCTGATAATTAAGAAATTTATCTTAGATTATTAGAATAACATCAACAGTATACTGAGATAATACTTTTTTAAAATGTCGGTTTTGTAGGCCATAATTCTATGAAATATGTTTTAAAAACCAAAATACTATGACAATAATTGGAGGAGCATGACTTTTTTCCTGTTTGTTTGTTCATTAGACTTAATGCATACATAAGGCAGGAATCCTAAATCCTGTTTCCTTCAGAGAAACTACTGACTTATGTGACTAAATTTTAAAAAATCAAGACTTTAGATGACAAAATAGGATAGACAGTTGGAGTTATTAAGTATATGATGCTGTGATTTTATTAATTTAGGTGACTAGATTTGGAATTTATCCAATGTAAAACAATTTACGACTTGATGGGTATTATAAATTCAATATTTATTTACTGTACAATATTTATGTTCTTTTAAATAGGTGATTGGTCTGTTGGATGTGTTTACACCTGCAAGATCTCTGGAGGAATTCAATGATGTGTGAGTATATCTTTTGCATTTGCCTTCCTCAGCTGGAGGAGGATTAGCAACCTGTTTCTGTTCCTGAATCATTTGGTAGTTATACAGGACTTCAACAGATTCTTCATTCCTGTTATCCGGCTCTTTGGGGGTTTGGGGTAGATACAGAAGATGCATATTATGTGTGCACATTTTAGTGTTTTCATCATTTCAGGTTTTTGTATCCCATTTGGAGAGTCCTTACAAAAGTTCCATGGAGAAGAGGGTAGAGGGGGTTTCCCCTGTGACTTTTCTTCTCAAATTGCCTGTCTAACTTTCCAAGGTACTCTTCAAGAAATATAATGGAGCCTAGTTCCATATAAGCTTTTTGCTCTTTTATCCTATGTGCATGGGGAAATAATACTAGAACCGCATGCTGATCTTTGAGGTGTTAAGATTTTTGCACCAGGACAAGGGCATACCCTACAAGTTGAGAAAGATTTCTCCCAATTTTGTGACTATTGTTTTAACCTGGGATCCCCTAGAACTTGGAGCTTGAAAGTTTGAGGAACCACGAGGGGAAGGCTAGGTAAAATGAAATAGGGAAGAAGAGAAAGGTGCTACAAGAATATGTTAATGATTTGGTCCACTTGGGCAACTGGGCTGTAAACTGCCAGCATCTGAGAAGCTATACATACTGTATCTCAGATGGGGAGCATTCATCTACTGGCTCCTGATCCCATTGTCCAGGTGTGCTCATGAGTGCAAGACACATCCAAGCAGATGTTCCATGCGTGTACAAACCCTCTGCTAGTGTTGTTCTCTCCAGTGTCTGAATTACCTACCTCGCATCTCCCCAGTTCATAGATGTCATAAGAGAGACAGAACACCTTTAATACAGAGTTACACATTTGCTTCTTTTGAAATTTTGACACTCCTAAGTGGAAAGGATGATTATTGTAAAAGCCAAAACAGAATTGTAGATCATGACTGCTTTTCCTTAACCCATGTTAGCTTTCTGTCACTAAAACAGAATGCCTGATTAACTTATAAAGAGAAAAGGTTTATTTTGGCTCATGGTTTTAGTAGTTATGCTTTTAGGCATCTGGTGGTCGTTCCTCTGGATGGCAGTGGTGGGGAGTATATGTCAGAGCAAAAGTGCTCATCTCATGGCTAGAAAGCAGAAGAGGAAGGGACTGGGGTACCACAGTTTCCTTCAAGGGCATGTTTCAGTAACCTAAAGATCTCCCACTAGCCCCCATCTCTTAAAGGTTCTACTGTTTCCTAATAGTGCCACCCTGGGGTCCAAGCCTTTAACACTTGGGCCTTTTGGGGCCATTTAATATCCAAACTGTAGCACTTCCCATTGCCGCCAGTGCAGAACCTAACCTTTTCTCCCAGTCTTATCCTGTGCTGTGTATAAACATCATTTGATCCTTTCCCACAAAACAAATTGGGGAATATGCTTGAGCTCATAAGTTCTTTCTATGGAAATTGTGGGGGAAAAGAAATGAAGAAGATGAAATGGTAGAAGGAGGAAAGGTAGCTAAAAATAATTTCTCCACCATTAGAATTTACTTGGGGGGCTGGGGCTGTAGCTCAGTGGTATAGTACCTGCCTAGCATGCATGAGGCACTGGGTTCAATCCTCAGCACCACATAAAAATAAACAAACAAAATAAAGGTATTCTGTCCATCTACAACTACAATTTTTTTTTTTTTTTTTTTTTAATACTTGGAACATGGTATGACGAGGAGAGGACAGAGCAGAATTTGGTCCACTCACAAGACTCCTTAGCTACATTAACCTTGAATCTGCTGATGTAAGTTTAAGAAACAAGCAAAGGAAAAAATAGGCAATAATAAGCTGTGTTTCTTGCAGTTCTCTTTGGCACCATAATGGAGGCTTCCAAATATTACTGGATGCTCCCAGAGGCATGTATGACACAAATTGTTGAGACCTGCTGCTGGCTATGCTTGGAAAAGAGAATGTTGCAAAATAATGTTTTTCGATGTTCTCTCTAATACGGTAGTAAAGCAACATGTTTGTGAGTTACTTTGGAAAACATTTGAGTTAGGTCTGAGCTCTATCCCAAATTTTAAATTTAATAAAGATGTATTTATTTGACCAAATAAAGAAAACATGATTTGCTGGCTTGGGCAAATATTGAAGTTTGACTTAATTAGGTATTCTGGAACTGGATTATAACACCTTTGGCTTCTTCATCCAAATGAGGGCTCACCAACTACATTAAAGTTGTATTGATTCATATATCCATCCATTCATTCAACAAGCACCATAACTGCTGAGTTGGCATCAGCTTTTTTCTCTCAACTCTAGCAACCATCTCTTGGAAGTAAATCTCAGTACTGCTTGTTGGTTACTGACTATTGTGCAAAATACCTAGCAGTTGGTGGGAACAGGCTCAGAACCCTGGGTGAAAACAGTTGGGTGAAACATTCAGAATATTTTTGTATCCAATTTTGTATGACCTTGGAAAGTCACTTTACCTCTTTAGGCCCCATTGACTTCCCTGTGAAATAGTAAAAAATGAGGCAGTTGATTCCTGATCCCAGAAAACCTCTGAAAATAGAATGATGAGTATAATAGAATGTATATATAATATACATGTATATATAATGTATATATAATAGAATGTATGAGTATATAGAATAGTAATAATAGAAGATGAGCTTGCTGTTAAGAAATGTCTTATTCACCTTTTGTGATGTTTGTGTCACTGAAAAAAAATAGTGCTTTTCTAATATTGTAGCTATTTCAGTGTTTTCTGGAGTTGTTTTAGAATTTTTTTTGGTTTGTTCAGTATTTATTATTGTTTTGTTTCTGGTGGTGCTAGGGATCAAACCCAGGGCCTCACACATGCTAGGCAAGTGCTCTACCACTGATCCAGGCACTTGATGCCCCCAAAGTCATTTTAGAATATGTGTAAGAGACTAAACAACTTTATTTACAATTGTAGGCTTTGCAAATTGAACTATCTTCAAGGCTAAACAAATAACATAGATGAGGCTCAGTGTTATATAACTGTGAGTGGTGGAGTTTGTGGTAAAATATATCTATACCTCCTAAAAGCATTCAAATTCACATTAAAACAAAACAAACAAAACTCACTCTTCTGGCCAAACCTAACACATTGAAGGCTAGAGCATTCTGCACACTGCCAGATTTACAGCAGACTGTAATTTTGAACATGGATTTTCTGTACTAATTAGCAAATCTCTAATTACTTTTCAGATGTATGGTTCACTTTTAATCATGTGTTTTGTGTATTTGTGCCTTTATGTTTCAGTTAACACTTTTCATTTTATCACACAATTTAAATTTTTACCAAGTTTTAAATTTCTAGGTTAAGATGTACCCTGAATACTTCATTTGTAAGACTCTACCTTTGAGAAAGGAACAATAGGTAGTGAGTTTTGTTCATTAGGAACAATGTACAGTTACTCAATCTAATAAGTGAAGATAGTGTTTGGAAAATGCGGAGTTAAAAGATGAGACTAACAAGTGCTCTTGACTGCTATATGATATGATTGTATAGGTGGCAAATTTATATAAAGATATATCTAGATTTTTTTAAATGATTGCAAATCATTGAATGGCTCTTGAATGGCAATATTTGTCAGGAGGCTATAAATACATATATATGCATATTTGTGCTATAAATATTTAGTTATCAGTAGATATGTAAAAGTTTTAAATAGCCAGTATTCAGACCTATGCTCAGTATTAAGTTACAACTTTTCCCAATAATAGTATTGCCACCCCCACACTTTTTTCTTCTTTAATGCAGTACTGGGGATCAAACCCAGGGCCTTCACTGTTCTCCAGAACTATTTCTTCTTACAAAACTAAAACTCTATACTTGTTAATTCCCACAGTTCTAGGAGTTCTTTATATATTTTAAATATTAACCCCTTCCCAGATAAATGAGTTGGCAAATATTTTTTCTTATTCTATGGGTCACATTTTCACTTTGTTAATTGTATCCTTGATAAGCAAAATTTTAAAAACTTGATACAGTCCCACTTGTTGATTTTTACCTGTATTTTTGGTGCCATATTCAATAAATAATATGCAAATCCAACAAAACAAAAACAACTACAAAAGAAACAAAACCAAGGGCCTTGAGCATGCTAGGCACTTGCTGTACCACTGAGCTACATCCCCTTGCCTCTTCCTACTATAGTGGTTTTCTGATCTAGCAGTGGAAAGCTTTGAGACTATTTATGGAAACTGTTCTCTCAGATTTCAGAAAAACTGTGTTGTCATAGGTTAGTGAAAATTAGTCTTCTGCCACTTTTCCCGTTTTGCACCTTCCCATTCCAGGGAATTTCTTACATTGAATTCTTTATCTCTGCTTCATTCTCTTAAGAGCGAAATGGAATGAGTGGGGGTCTTGGATCCTGCGATCTTGAGAAAATCTACAACAGCCCACTCAGCAGCCTTGGTTGTAGTGAATGCTGGTAGGGCTCATGAGCCCCCAGCTCAGCCTCCCACCTACTAAAAATGATTGTTCAACTAATGAGTTAGCTTTTCATTTCAATATAAATGGAATTGGTAAAGGGAATTCTAGATTTACATTTTATTGATTGTATTCAATAAATATTTGAACATCCACCTTATTCTAGTCATAGTATTAATCTCTGAGGAATACAACAATCCTGATCATTGAGTTGAGGCCCTTCACAGAAGAGAAGAACAATTTAAAAGATAGAACGAAATACAGTGTGGTAAGTTCAGAGAGGTCCTGCTTGATTTGATCCTGTGCACCCTCATCTAGTCTCATGTAACCTTCTTTCTGTCCTCTCTCCATTCTGATCTCTTTGGCTTCTTGTTCTTCCTTGGATACAGACAACCACATTCCCAATGGGACCTCAGTGCTGGTTTCTAACCATGGCCTGCAACACTTTTTCTCACATACCTACATGACTGGCTCCTTCATTTCCTTCAGGACCCTACTCAAGGATCTTTTCCTCAGAAGCTTTTTCCTTTTTTTTTTTTTTTGCCCCCTGCTGTCACTG